ATAATTGTGGAAGACACGGCCTCGACTGATTTCAGCTTTGGAGGACAATCGGGAGCTACAAATAAAAAATACAGTTATAAACAGAAACTGTTCTTTGTAAGATTTGAGTATATGTAATATCTGACACTGCATTTTTAAACGAAAAAAATGGTCAAGAGAATTGGACCTAATCAAGACAATTTCCTAGAAACATACCATCTTGCAATGTCGTTTTTGTTGTTGGCCTACTAGGATTACTGTTTTTGACAGTATATGCAACTACGGAGAATTCGTATGTAGTATACTTCTGAAGATTTGCTATGTCCCTCCGTTGGACGGCAGGGCCAACATTGGACACTTGCCAATTACGGTCACCAGGCCTCCGATATAAGACTTAGTAGCCTCTCAGAATTCCATTCCTGCAATTGGTATTTGGCAGTGGGTCCCATGTCACACGAATAATTGTGGAAGACACGGCCTTGACTGATTTCAGCTTTGGAGGACAATCGGGAGCTACAAATAAAAAATACAGTTATAAATAGAAACTGTTCTTTGTAAGATTTGACATTTCTTAAAATTGGCTGAATTTCTATGATCTATCTGCGTATTTCTGTGCAAATCTCTCCCTTTCCCCCTCAAATTATTTTCGGGTTGTTTTGTCCGGGATTGTAGCTACATTTTTTAGGGTGAAACTTAAAGAGAACTGGGCCCATTCAAGAAACTTTCCACCAACATACCATCTTGTAATGTCATTCTTGTTATTGTATTACTTGGCTCACTGTCTTTCACGGTGTATGCAACAACCTTGAACATGTACAAGGTATACTTCTGAAGATTTGCTATATCCTTCCATTGAACGGTAGGGGCAACATTGGACATTTGCCAATTACGGTCACCAGGCCTCCTATATAAGACTTTGTAGCCTCTCAGAATTCCATTCCTGCAACTGGTGTTTGGTGGTGGGTCCCATGTCACACGGATACTTGTGGAAGACACGGCCTCGACTGATTTCAGTTTCGGAGGACAATCGGGAGCTAGAAGTAGATAACATTATATACCATTAAGGAGAGATTTTTTCTGAGATTTTGTTGTAAGCAGTAAAATTCCTAAATAAGTTTGTATAAAAAATTCCAACATACCATCTTGTGATGTCTTTCTTGCTATTGTTTTGCTTGGTTCGCTGTCTTTGATAGTATATGCAACAACCTTGAACATGTACGTTGTACTTCTGAAGACTTTTGATGTCCTTCCGTTTGACGGCAGGACCAAATTGGACATTTTCCAATAACGGTCACCAGGCCTCCTATAAATGACTTTGTACCCTCTCAGAATTCCATTCCTGCAATTGGTGTTTGGTGGTGGGTCCCATGTCACACGGATACTTGTGGAAGACACGGCCTCGACTGATTTCAGCTTTGGAGGACAATCGGGAGCTACGAATAAAAAATGTGAAAGAATCTTTTAGTCTAGATGTTTTGACGATTTCAATCGGTTTGGAAGAATTTACTATATAGAAAATCTGATACTGCATTTTTATCCCGGCTAACCATAGGCACAGGAAGCTCATGTATGCATATCGTTGTTTTTAAGAGAGCATGTCCATAAAAATCAAACAAATCTGATATTTAGTGGCCACGGCTCAAAAATCGATTTTGCTCAAATTTTGTCCAAATATACTTTATTGTATCCTAAAATACACTGAATAGTTTTTGAAGTAAAATATATTTTGGTTTTCGAGAAAATGCCGTTTTAAGAGAGGCACCCGAAAACCGTCATTTCATGGGCCAAAATGTACACTAACATTACCGGCTGAAAACATTGGCAAAACCATTTGTATGATTTTTAAAACCCGCAAATTCTTTTCTCCCTCATATAAATATACCATAGCGTGAATTTCCGGTAATTCGAGAAACTTTTTGTAGCCGAAATCATCGCAGTTTCAGAGCATTACATTCTCCTCGCTTCACAATAGCCTCTAAACAAAGTCGATTTTCACCATGCGATAAAGCTCAAAATCAAACAACTTTTTGTTGGTTGATTCTTCAAAGAAAGAGCTTTCCAATGATATAAATATTACGCTTGGCAAATAAATACGTGACACGCGACAGCTCATTGAAATGGACGAATTTTGACCTTTGGAGGTCAAATACAAAACATAAACAAACACACTAGGCGGAGAACTCTGTCAAACATTCAGATTATTT